GATTTGTCCACCTATAACAAGAGATTAACACCACTAGTGAAGATTCTTTCGAATGAGGTTAAGCATTATGGAATGATCAAATCACTGCTATAGGTAAACTTGATTGGAACCTTTCGGTCTTCTTCCGCACTTCCCAAAATTTGCAAATATTGCAAACGAGTATTAAATAATTGACTTTTACGTGCTGCTGCCATAGTCCAATGATTGCGAATGCGGCAGTCTCTTGGCATTGCGATGTTTGAATGCTAGTGAGACAAAACTTCTGAAGAGATAAAAAACTAACTAAGAAGCTTAAGTGAATCAGGGCCTCGAACTGGTTCCCAGGCCAAAGCCTGTATGCGTGTATGTGAGTGCACGTGACATCGGGAAACTATAAATGTTTACATGATTTTCCAAGAGCAAAATGATAAATTGGTCTACTCTTACCTTTGTCGAAATCTCGTCCTGGAATGACTCCACGTGAAATTTCGCCGGGGTATCAGCAAATATGTAGGGCATCATTTCTCTAACTGAAAGGATACACAGTTAGCTACGAACTGAGCTGGAAAGCTGCGGCGAAATCACACACATGCTGGAATGATGAGGAGGAAGAATAAGATTGTTGTGGTCACCGCAAGCACGGGATCCACATGTTTCCAGAGCCAAGATTCGCCCAGCCAAGGAGGTATAGCCAAGCCAGCCACATACATTCCTAAAACGCAATTTGCGAACTGCTGTTCATATTTAGAAGGCTCTTGCTTGAAATATGAAAGAAAAAACTTTTAGATGGCTAAAAAGGCAAACCCACCAATGACTATTGTGGGGCTTAAGGTATGCAGAATGAGGCGTGGGACTGGATGAAGACCCATGGATGGAATATGGCCCAGAGCCAGAACAAGACATTTCAATGCCACATCGAAAATGCTCACAATAACGTATTGCTCTAAAGTTAACAAGGTGATATACCAATGCTGAGGAGTTACAATTGAAGGACTAGAATAATATGTTAGAATGAGTTGCAGCCCACAGTTTCAGAAGAAAGGGAATTGAGCTTTTCAAGCA